TGCCAAAAAATGTACCCATTTGCGCACGCCCGGCGTTTGACCGCTGTGTTTCGCACGGCAACGCTCGGCGCGAAATGACTGCGGACTGCTGACTGCGGACTGCGGACTGCAAAAGTCAGACTGTGAGGGGTAATGAAGACGAAGACTAAACTGAAGACCGATACGAACAAAACAGAACAGCAAAACTCACAAGAGACACCACGTATCTCAATCTTAAATATCGGTAGTCCAAAAGGCTGCGTGGCTGCTTGGCACAGTGTAAATAGCTCAAAAGTAATTAACAAATAAAGAAGCCTCGCCTGTGCTCTGTTCTGTTGTAAAGCACGCAGGAAGCGGTAGAGCACGAAAGAAGTGTAGGNCTTCTTTATTTGTTTTATGATAAAGAATCGGATAATTTCCCCGCGCATTTGGCTGAATTTTCAAACCAAACTTTATTTTCCAATAAACAGTAACAAAATAGAGCCAAAAAAGTCAATTATTTAGCAGACGTTTCGGAACTAGTCCTTCTTCAGGTCTAAGTTTTAAATGGAATAAATCATCGAAGAAATAAACAATAACACGCGCGACTCTAACGGATAGGTATAAGGTAAGAGCGTGTTCGCTTCAAGTTGTTAAAAAACTGAAAACTGAAAAAACTGAACTAATTGGGTCAAACGCCGAACTTCACATGAGCCGGTAACCGGTCACCTCGCCACCAGGAAGTCTCGCTATCAACGAACTCACCAAGCGAAGTTGCCTCACCCCCAAATTACTAACGATCTAATAACATTAAACTGAAATTCGTTCTACTTTGTTCAGTTGTGTAACTCGCACAGCCCATGTAAGGCTGAAGTTGTTTGATCGTTTAGCCGAAGCCTTTTATGAAACACGTTACGTAAGATTAAATGCAAACGCAACAGAGAAGCAACTGAGCAAAAATAACAGCACAGTCAGTTCTCAAAGATATATACATGTAGCTGAATTCTAGAAAGTTATGGTTTCTCGCTAGACAACGGAGCACATCTCGTATCCCGTCACCGACAACATGTTGACATCGAAATTTGCAAACAGACAAGCTAACAAACTTACGAGTCGATTGACATATTGAAGTCGCTCGTAATTCCCTGGTGGCGAGGCGACCGTATACCCATGAGCCTAATTGGTTGAATTGGGTTCGGCTCATGTGAAGTACGGCGTTTGACCCGGGCCTAAGCCGGTGCCAAGGTGGAAAATTAAGCGCATTTTGTCACGGCGTCTGGCGTTGTTTGTACCCCTGCGGTGTTTTATGCAGCGAACTTCCACGCCCTCTCGTTCGTTACCTTTTTTACCCTATTTTCACTTTAGTTTCTTCTACAGGACCCCTCTGATAACTTAATGCACTGATGGGTCATCCTGTTAAAATATTCGTTATCAGCATCGTCGTCATCGTCGTCGTCGTTATTATTGTTATTATTATTATTATTATTATTATTATTATTATTATTATTATTAGGCATGTTGAAATGTTCCACGACGGGGAAAAAGGGCGGGTTTCTCGTAATGGTTTGGAGGTGTTCACCTGTGCGTTCCTTGAGCATGCGGCTGGACAGTGACATGATATGCAGTACACCACATTACTAGATTTTCAGGTGAAGCACTCCCTAATGGTGATGTTGTGTTGAGGTCCTTCGATGATGGCGGTGGCTGATACATGAGAGCAAAAAAGGCATCGGGGGCGCGAAAAGGGTATGTGACGGCCGGAGACCCAGACTGACTTCGCCTGGAAATGTGCACAAGAATATCACAGATACTGAACGACAAAACCACCACCAAGATTAATCTCCTTGGTGGTTTCGTCGTTCACCAGAATGTTTAAGTTCGTCAAAAGGATCTTTTTGATGTTATTGTTAAAAGGATGGTGCGTCACATCTACATCTACATTTAATAATAATTAATAATAAATTAATAATTTGATTTCCTCGTCAACACCGAGGAAATCCTCTCTGTGCCGGTGGTGGCGTCTTGAATCTCTTGAATGACGTCACGCCTACTGACTCCTGACACCCATTGTAGGTAGTGTTCGAGTGATGTGCGAGTGAGAACACGGTTCTTTCCATTCGATGAAAAATTCCAGTTTGAATTTCCTGAAATTTCCATTAACGAATGGAAGAGCATTTTCCGTAATTTTTTCCGCGTTCAGTACTGCTTCCCAATGTCCTGGAGAGCTCTCATTGGCTTAAATTATCTTGCTTTGAGCCAGCCAGTTGCGACAGACAGCAGATCAAAGCAATCAGTGAGCTCGAACAGAATAAGCATTTTGTCAATCAGGCCTTTGATCCTTGCAACATCCCAGAACATTCATTACCTGGGGATGTTGACAGAATTATTTAGTAGTGAAGAACAAAAATTTCCACTTGCGGTTGCGCCTTTTTCTTTCTTCTTTCCCTGGCCTCTGCTGTACCATTTCGATCCAAATGGCTCACTATTGCCGTACTTTAAGTCACCATCCAACACTACTAAACTTGAAAACGCAACTTTATTTCTACGGTCTGGCCTACCGTCCACACTAATCCGTCACGACCACGGAGCTTTCAGTTCGAAAACGCTCTTTTGACCGACGAATTATTTAACGCCTGCTTTGCGTTTTACGTGGCGGGAAAACACTTTGAAAACGGAGCTTTTCGAAAACGTTGACATCACGATAATCATGTGATTTCCCTGCTCGAGTTTTCCTCAAACACAAACCCAAAATGACCGGTGAATGTTGCGTTTTCAAATTTCTCTGGCGTAGTGTGGGCGGAAAACATTTGATGCGTTTTCAGAGTGAAAACGGGCCGTTTTCAAATTTCTACAGCGTAGTGTTGACGGTTCCTTATTCTATTGCACCTGAAAAGTCCTTCTCAAAGAGCGCAGTAAATGTATGCGTATGTATGAATGAATGTTTTTTTTTACCCCCTCCGCCCGGTTCAGAAGCTTAAGCCCCAGCCAAACGATCGCAACATTTCAACACAACATATCGCAACATTGTTGGCCCAGCATTTGCAAGCTCCAGCCAAACGATCGCAGCATTTCAGCACAACATATCGCAGCATTGTTGGGTGCAACATGTTGCGCGCGTTTGGCCACCCAGTGCGACTGTCGCGACATGTTGGGTATTGAAAATCGAACTAGTGCGCATGCCTGGGTGCATCATCGTTGCGCGAACCTGGCCAAACGACTACAATATCATACAACATCCACAATTGTTATATAGCTGGCGTTTTTCCAGCTACAGCGCGCCCATTTATTGGCTAGTTCATGGTTGAATGACATCTAACAATGAAACTGTTTATAGCCAAATGCCATGAGCGGGCAACATTGCTAAAACTATGACGTCAAACGGAAAACAGTTCACTGTTTCCCGCGAAATGTTCACCGCTGTTGCACGTGATCAGAGCGTGCAGTTGAAGGTGGCCTGATGTTGTCGCTGGAATCTCAGCGCGTTTTTCAAAATTTGCTTTTGTTTTGTCTTCGTCTCGGGAAACATTGAGATTCTCGGGAAACAAAATTCACTGTTCTCCTCGGGACCAGTCATTAAGTGTTAAATGTTGCATGAAAATTTCGACCAGTTTCAAATTTGAGCCAACAACACCCAACATGTCGCAACACATTGCAACAGGGTGACCAAACGCGCGCAAAACAGTGTTAGCTAATGTTGCGATATGTTGCGTTGAAATGTTGCGAGGCTTTAAGCAACGACGGCGGCGGCGGCGGCGGCGGCGAGAACGACGCCAAGTTAAAAATGAATTTATTTATATTTTACCGGCGAAATTCGCAATTGTCTAGCTCTGTTCAGAAGGCAAATGGCTCTAAAAACGTGCTCAGGATAAATATCAAAATAGGCAATGACAGCGTTCAATTCCAAATGGAAATACGAAAAATTAGCCGCCGTCGTTCACGTTCCTCAAACTACGCAGAATTTGGTTATTTCACCTTCTTGTTTTGCAGAGGACGGCAAAGTAATGTACAAAGATATATAACGCACGTGCACAGCTATTATTTTCCTAATTAAACCTTTTGTTTGGTGACGTTCTTGTTGCCGGCGTCGTCGTGGTTTGCTTAAGCTCCCTAATGGTCGATTCCTAACATCCATGAATAAAAGACAAGATTTGTGGCACCAGGCATGGTGCAATGTTGTTTATCATGTTTATTTTTACCTTACAACAAACACTGAAACTGCTGACGCTACATTTTCCACGTCAGTCGAGTGAAAATGTGCGACAACTTGATATTGCATAATTTGTCTAAAACAAAAAGATGCTTTTGGTATATTACTCAAAGCACTTTATTCCAGCGACGAATGAAATCGAATTCAGTCTAAAAAGTGATTTTTATTCATATTTGGTTTACTGCCCCAGGAGTTTCATGGTTGAGAGAATTAACAAACGAATCTAAAACTGTAAAAAGCCTGAGCTAAAACCCCAAACATTGGAATGTTTAACTTCCATCGAACAATATTTAATTATGTAGCTTGTTGTAAGTTTGTAAAGGCTCGAGAATCCAGAAACACGTTTATGAATATAAAGAAGTTTACAAATGTCCTATTTTATTATCTTTGATCAAAGCTGCAGGTTTCCGTCTGGGCATGTCCGTGTAAAATTTTCTCATTTGCTTTTGTTTACCGAACAATGAAGCTCCAGACTAACAATGATTATTTTTCTCGAAAATTAACATTTCTTTGCATACTATGAACTGCTTACTAAATACAATAGATCTTTTGTGACAGTCTTTTTCATCGAGAGACTAAGTGGAGAGATTTTTGTCATGATCGGTAACTGTCAAGGTTTTCCGTGGAGCTCTTCAGAATGAACGGTTGTAACGAGAATAAAATGAGAACACTAAAGAGTTTTCTTCCCACGAACAAATTTACCAACATAAGTATTATATTGGTTATCTGCGGTTTGAGCGACAAAGCAAACGCCCCTCTATCAAACAGCAATATCGCTCGCGGCTACAAATTTTTTTTTTGTTCAATGTCGTTTTCTTTTTCTCATTTTCCGACAAAAACTCATCTATTTAGCTTGGAAAGGGGTGAATAAAACGCTGAATAAACTGCTCTTACATATTTTAATCGTGAACAGCCTTAATATGTAAAAGAACGATGAAGACCGAGAATTTACCAGACAAGGATGATCGACTTGTTTATTCTCCTTCGCGTCATTCACACAATTGCACACAGGCACGAAACAGCACATGTTCAGATCCCAGCAACCGGCCTTGTTATGCAAATTTGCAGTTCCTGATTTCTCTTATTCAAGTTGTGAGCTCCTTTATCTTTCATCGGTAAAGTTTATTATTTTTTAAAGTCATGAAGCATTATTTCGGATTATTTTTTTCAATCTTGATTGGTGTTTGTGTTTTTAACGAGAATTCAGCAACCGTGCTTTCAGCGCGATGCAAAAGTCGGTGCCTAGCGAAGGTGAGTAATCAAATTATCGATTGAATGTTTTGGACCGACGCCTGTTGCTGAATACTTTGACAGGTTGTGATCTTGTACCAACTGAACTTAAGTTACTAATCTTGCAGGTGATTTTTAATTGCTTAAGACTTTATTGAATCTGATCGCTAAACGTTTTCTTGTTTCTCATGTTTCTCTTTTTGGCGCGTCGTCACGTTCTGTGTGGAAATTATTATTCGGCAGGAGATCCAAAGATATAGGAATGTAAGTAACTTGGACGTTGAATTATGAAGCATACTAAGCTCCCTCTATTCCCATACAAATTAGGTAGCCCGCTTCTAGACTTTAGATGTGGTAGCTTGGAAAAAGCCTCCGTTCTTTTCGGAGCTCACCACTGCAAATGTCTAAAGTAACAACCGTTGCCTAAGTTAAGAATGTATGCAGTTGTTGCGAGAAAGATCAATACAGAACCACTCTCCACAAACGTATTAATGCACGCCGTTGTATTAACTTTTTAGTAAAGACAAAATTTAAAGAAAAACGCGAAGCTGCAAAACGACAGAGTGTAAGTAAAGGCAACACCAAAAGTTTCAGATTGGTCAGCATAATTTCGAGTACCATATATATGGCTTGAAAAGCAGTGTTTGTTTGTCAACGAGATCAGTTTTGCATACAGGGTTAAGCCTTTGCATTCCAACTGAACGCAGTTAAAAGGAAATAACTTTTCACTTCCCATCCCCACTTATAAATAACATCAATTTCCACCAGGTTGGGGACTATGAAGGTTAAAATTCTTGCATGTTTTCGTGGTGAACTCATTCGATCGCTAAGCCAAGCGGCACGGCTTTGTCATGCAGATATTTATGTAGATTCAATTCTTGTTTCTGTTTTTCAGTTGAAAGATTTACCACCGTAGCTTTATTTCGTTGCGGTCGGCGCGACGATTTAAAAAAATGAAAATGTGCGATAAATAGGTGCGAAAAGAAAAGAGAGTCAATTTGAGACGACATGGTGTTTCATTGTAATATGCGAATATTGGTTCACCATTGTGAGAAATCCAATAGTTTTCAAGATAATTTGTAGAAAGCGTAATTTCCGAAGCTTCGACGCCATTTGGTTTTATATATTTATTTATATGCCACAAATCGATCCACAATTTCGGGGAAAGGATAGAAAGAGTTTGCAATTTAAGGCTTTTAACTCTGAGCCACTACTTTTGTTGTATAAATCGTTTAGCACACCATTTTAAAATTCTTTATAATCGTCCAAAGGCGTAATTTTTAAAAAAGAACACTGACGTTCCAGCGCCAAAAAAATCGACATGCTAAAAATATGTAAAGCCTTACAATATTTTGCGTTACTTGTATATTTCATTGTTTTTTTGTGGGTAGTCTTGCGATATTTGTCAATTTAATTAGTCGCTGAGAGGTATTCAGTTAAATTTCCCGCAGCTCCATATCTTCGGGGATAGCTCCCGATAATTTGTGTGATTTCCTCTGTTTAAGTACCCTTGATGATGCTAATTAGCACATTTCTACAAGACAAAATGCGCATGTACCCCCTATCTAAAAGCGTCTGAGTTTGATTGCTTTTCATAAAGTTACATAAATGTAATAAACTTAGGACAGATTCATAACTTGAACGTCTCTTGATAAAAAAAAAAAAAAAATGGCAGGCAATTTTGTTTTTCTTTTCTTGCTCTTTAGTAGATCAACTATTTGTTGAAACTTTTCAGTTAGATGACTTTCAATAAGAGTACACTCGAACTTTAACTAGGCAGGTTCATGTTCATCAGTGTATCCTCTCCAAATGATGTCCGTTGCTTGATTATATTGTCATATGATATGCAAAACCTAGTTATTTTATGATTAGATTGAGTTATGCAAATCTTCTGAAGTTTCTGCCTAGAGCGTAGTCATATTTATTAAGTACAAAGCAGCTTACTGACCAAATGTTATCAGTATCACTCAACTAGTGGACTAATGCAAATCCTGCATTTTAATTGGCTACGTTACTAGAGGACAATTAGTAATAGTACTCGAGTAGTGAAATTGGTGCAACTGAGTGTGACGCTTTCTTTCGTTTAGTCCCAAATAAATATTTCTTCAACTTGCATTTGCTAACTTTATTATTGCCTTTTCTGTCCAACTAGTTGGGTGATACTAAAACAATTAGACCCTTCGCCCTGAAGGGCCACTGGTCTATAGCCCATTCAGCTTCGCCTCATAGGCTATTGACCTGTAGCCTGCAAGGGCTACGGGTCTGATTGTTAATTAGTCACAACGTAAATTACATGATGGTCTGTCATGTAGCCCTTGCAGGCTACGGGTCTAATTGTTAGTTAGTCACAACGTAAATTACATGATGGTCTGTCATGTAGTCCAATTGCTATTAATACAAGAGAAGCATACTTGTCTTTACTGTTTTTTGTTTCCATCTAGGTCACTGCAGTTCCTGAATGTATCACACAAGACTGTTCAGCGGTAAGTGAAATGTCTTAGTAAACAAAAGTAATTCATAAACAAAGATTTTCTTTGTTCTAAATTTGGGCTGTGAGTAGGGGCGTGATTCAAAACAGATGTGTTGAGCATAGCTATCCACAGTTAGTGCTGACTGACTGATCTGCTCATGTCTTGTACACACATGCATTTCACTTCAGACATACTCTTGTTCTAAGACTTCCACAATCAAGCCCCACATGCTGGTCTTTTAATCTGTGACCATCCAGATTACCAGAACTTTCAGGAGAGTCCTCAGCTGCATGCTAACCATTTCACCATCGCACCTCCCATGCATATTCACCTAGAGGCTTATGCAAATTTGAGAGAATTTTCAAAAATCACTCTCAGTGTAAATCTCTGCTGATTGCAGTTGCATTCATCTGATTACCTATTAGATACTTAGCGTCACTGACCTGGGAGTCCTAATTATCAGTGCTCCAAGCTCACTTCTTCAAAAAGTCGCCTTTTGGTGACCTTCAATAAATTATTGTAAAATGGTCACCATAAAAAAATTTTGGTCGCCAAAAAAAAAACAGAAAAAAAAAACTGTAATATCCAGGGGCAGACACTTCGTGTATGTTACATGAATGTCTACTACGCCAAGCGACACATTTGCAAAACTTTCCTTTGCCAAATTGTTACGTTTACTCGCTTGCCAATTAAAAGATTGCAATAACGGGCAAGACCGAAAGAAGGAAGAGACTCCAATGTCTGGTAGCAGAAATGATTTATTACAAAGCTGCTGACACTGGGTAACAACTCGCCAGTGGCACGCAAAAAACAACATTCACGTAATCACTGATGTGTGACAACTGCACTTCGAGTCAGCACTGAATGTTTCTTTCCTATGGGAAAATTAGACATCCTCACTTTTTAACCGCATGGCCATGGGCCAAGCGCGGTTCATGTTCTACCTGTGGTTTATTAACCACGCGGCCATGGGCCGAGCGCGGTTCATGGTTTACCCGTGGTTTTTTTTCGATTTGTAGGTGACCAGACCCAAACTTTCACTCGGCCAAATTTTGAGTCACGCAACCTGTGATGTTTAATCGCCAAAAGCTGTTGAAACATTAATAAATCACATCTCCGATACTGACTTTCGCGGGAAAAAAAATTAAAAACCCAGCGTTCGTCAAAAATAATATTTTTTCAGCAGAAATTTTGCTCGGAACATATACATATTTATATTCGTTTGAATCATCGATGAAATGACCTTTTCCGGATATTTTTTTCTTCGGGGTCAACAAAAACCTCCTATTACAAAATCATGCCGAACCCACACGTTGCAAAATAATCTCTTCAAAACTGTGATTTCCAAGCGATATATCACTTAAGCGTTAATAGCTACCACACATTGGCAGGCGGTAAATCT